GTCGAAGCTACCACCGGGGTAAAGTGGGTCAACAACCTCACCGAGAGGTCCACCAGCAATACGGTAACCCTCTACAGCTCCCATCAACACAACTTGACAAGCCCAAATGGCCAAGATGCTTTGTGCATGGACCAAGCTTGGGTTGCCCAAGTAATCAAGTCCACCCTCACTGAAAATCTGGGATCCAGCTTTGAACCATACAGCTTCACCGAACTTGACACCATTACGAGCCAAGAGCTCGGGGAAGACACAACCAAGAGCTCCAAGCATGGCCCATCTACAGTGGATCACCTCTAGCTCACGATTCTTAGCAAAAGTTTCTGGATCAGCTGAAAGTCCAGCAGTGTCCCATCCATAGTCACCAGGAAATTCACCAGTCAAGTAACTTGGGGACTCACCAGAGAATGGGCCCAAGTACTTGACACGATCAGGACCGTACCATGGGCTACCAGAAGAGACAGGCTTGGCCTTGGTAACAGTCTTCCTCATCATGACTTTTCCATTTCCAGTAATTTTAGAAGAAGATGGTGAGAGTTTCACCGCCTTTCCGGCGAAAGAAGGGGAAGATAGAGCCATTGTAGAAGCAGCCATTGAATAAATAAAATGAAATACTCTTGAATGCTGCTACTACTACACTCAAATAATATTTGATTTATGGCTTGAGTTACATGGTCTTGCACCAAGTCTATTTAAATGACTTTGAAGGACTAAAACGTCCTTATCCTAAAATATCATTATCTGTTTCCTCATTGGTAGATGACTATTTGTTAACTTTTTGCATTTCAACACCACAAAATGTGACTAGATTTTTTTTTAGATATATTATAATTATGTCTAAAAAATCTTAACAAGTTGATTTCCTCTGTTGCTGCCAATCCAAAGTTGCCACGTCTCATAGTGGATTTTTGCAAAATCTACTTGACCAAGAGCATAAGATAATCTCCGACCCACCTCTATTTTACTCTCCATTTTCTATATTTGGAGAGTAAAATAGAGAATGACACTCCAACCCCTCTTTATTTTAGGAGTCTGGAACCTAAATAATCCACAAAAAGATAAAAGTGACCAAAATAAGTCATTATTCTAGTAAGTAACTAAAATAGGTTTAGTGAAAGAAAAAATTCCGTTTTATGAAATATTTCAAACGTTTTCCGTTAGTTTCATAACGGGTATATTTTAATATATAACGAAGCTATTTCTTACACTTTGTAAAGTGAAAGTTTTTCTTACACTTTACAAAGTGTAAGAAATAGTTCATTTATATATTAAAATATACACGTTATGAGACTAACGGAAAACGTTTGGAATATTGCATAAAACAAATTTTTTTCTTCCACTAAGCCTATTTTAGTTACTTACTAGAATAGTGGTTTATTTTGGTCACTTTTATCTTTTTGTGGCTTATTTAGGTTTCGGACTCTTATTTTAGACTCTATTCTTCATTTTTAGAGAGTTAAATAGTAGTTCTCCAAATTTGGAGAACTACTATTCACACTCTCTATTTCACTTTTTCAATATCTTATTATTATTTCTATTATTTTCTAATTAACATACTTATTTTACATATAATATCATTAATTAAATATCTAATATTCATAATTCCTTTTAGATGTAATATAATATTTTAGAAAATATATTATTTAATATATACTACTTTCATCCCGAATAAAAATACTTTAATTTTTTTTCTAATTTTCGTCAATAATCTAATTTTATTTTATTATTAATTTTCACTATAAAGAATGCACAAAATTAAAATGATAAGATGAAAATTTTTATTTAAAAACACAATACATAACATAATAATTTAAATACAAGATAAAACACAATACAATACATAACATAATAATTAATTTATCACAACAATAATTTAGTAATCCGGTCGGTCGTTTCCAAATCTAGCACTATTCGAAGAAAAAAAATTAGGATATAATGGTAGATGAAAATCTCCGGTTTGAATAATTTTTAGCTAGACATAAAAAAATTAACGACAAAAATACTAATTTTGAACTCCGTAATGCATTAATAGAACATTTACGGGAGCAAGGTAATAATTTTGAAAGTTGAGTGTTTATGTAATTGTATTTCACTCTTATTTGAATTTGTTCATTAATTTGTATATTATATAATATTTTCTTGCAATTTATGTTATCTAGAAACTTAAAATAAAATAAAATTTTATATTAAATAAAAATTTTGAAAAAAATAAAATTTTATATCACATGAAAATTATATAAAGTAATTATTTGGGAAAAAGAAAGAAAGAATTTATATTATGAAATAAGAAAATAAGAATGAAATAGAAATAATAATATAATATTGAGGAGAGAGAAAAAATATTTTGATTTAGAAAATAAAATAAAGAATTGAGTTGGAGTTGGTTGTCTGAAAAAATAGAGAACTCTATATTTAGATAGTAAAATAGAATTTAGAATTGGAAATGCCCTAAGACTTCTGCTTGACTAGCCTATCAAATAGGACCACTTGTTATGAGTGGTCAGTGGTGCATATACCTTTTTTTTTCCAGGGTGCATATACCCTCTTCATCACAATGAGACAAATGAAAAACTTGAAATTTTTCTTTTTAATTATTATCGGGTTATATGTTTTTTTTTGTTTACGGGTTAATCGTAATCTAATAGCAAACTAAATAATGAGATTTATATCATTTGGTATAAAACTGTCCTTAATTTAGAATTTAGTTTCATACTTTTATTTATAATTGTCTCAAACACTTGATTATTCTACAAAAAACATTTTCAATACAACAAACTTATTTGGGGATCGGAAAAACCGCTTTCAATACAAAATCTTCACAAATATGAGATTTTTATACTGATCAACTCAATCCAAATTTGTTTGAAATCGGAAAAACCGCTTTATTTTTATACTGACCAAGTCAATCCAAACTTGTTTGGGATCGGAAAGAAAAAAACCCTAATGCATTCATCAATTTATTTTTTTACGAAACAGTTTCAAAGATCCTTTTATTTTATTTAAATTGTACGCATATTTACGATTTCATTAATTGAACTCCTAATACAATCTCATAAACACAAAGTAAAAACAATTTTGTGGTAGTAATTGTTGCAAAATGGATATCCACATACATATATTTAGTGGTAACATATATGTACACACAATGCTTTGTGTGTAAGATATAAATGCACACATTATATAAAGTGTTGTAAACTAGGTGTTCATGTAATATTCTTGATGCACAAGTGTGTATATATATATATATACATTTTTCTTCTGGTAACAAAGTAAGAAACATAAGGTAAGTGTAAGTGAAAGGAAAACATTCAAAAATAGAGAAAACAAGTTGCTACTACTACTACTATTACTTTGTGTCTCTCTCTTTCTCTCTTTTTCTTCTTGCCATTTTATTTTACTACACATGCTATATTTTATAACACTTATCAACAATAGTTTCTTCATCTACGAGCATCTCCGATGGTGCATTAACCCAAACATAAATAGTATAGAGTATATTCTATTTTGCTATATAAGTCTTCTTATACTTGATAGTCTAAATTTGATGTGTCTAATGTAATTATCGTGAATGTTATCATGGATTTTAAGCTAAATATTGGAAGAATAATTAGTACAATATACTTACTTGATAACCTTGTTGGAAGAATTGAACTCACCAAAATCGTTAGAAGACTAAAAGTGCATAAGATGAATTTTTAATTTGGTTGATACTTTGTTGTGGTTATCACCTAGTAATACATAATTGATTTTAAATGAGATATAGTTAATTTAAGGAATGCATATCAAAATAAAAAAGAAAAGGTATTAAAAATTTTAATGTTGACCTAGATTAACTTTGATCAACACCATTGATTATTTTTAGTTATTTACACTTGTTTATCTTTCACTAGCTAATCATTTACTCTTTGAATTATTAACTTTATTTTAATGGTAAGGATAAGGTCAACTAATAAATGAAAGTTAAGAGGTATTTTTTATCCTTTCTCCATTTTTTAACAATGAATACAACATGCTAAAATAGTTTCTAGGGAAAAGAAATGATATACCCTCAACTTTGTCATTTAGAACTGATATATCTCTCGTTATGAAAGTGACTCATATATACCCCTATTACTAAAATGA